GAAAGAAGACGAGTCGTCCCGAGAAAACTCGGAGGAACTCGATGCCCTCCTCTATTCTTCGGATGACGATTACTCGGACGATGATGTGACGAGCACGGGCCATTCACCGAGCGCCTTAACAGACGAGGTCCCACACGATCCCCCGGCCGAGGAAAAAACGGGTGAGAGCTTTGTGGGGCCCACCGCAGCCAAACGCAGGAGAACAGGGCCCGTGCTGCTGGAGGAGGATGAAGCAGAGTCTTGTACTGGGCCCCGCAAAAGGTCGAGAAGAGAGAAGGTTCAGATAGCACTCGGGGCTTTGAGGAGCGTGGTCCCTGGCGCAAGAGGTAAAAACGGGATTTCGGTTATTGATGAGGCTATTGAGTATTTGAGGTCTTTGAAGGTTGAAATGAAGGCTCTAGGGCTCGATGCTCTTTGAGTTTTGTTATTTCTCCTTTTTACGAGGCGAATAAAAATTGAAACTTTGGTTTTTTGGGGAGAAATTTTGTGGGACGAATACGAATGTGCCTTGGAGCTATAGCCAAGCGTACGTGAGAATCGAAATGCAACTATTGGCTCGTCTTCTGATTGAAATTTTAGTATGTTGCGAAGTTAGCTAAGCTTGGATTTAGGTTATGATCTTTTGTTAGATCACATTTGAAGTGATGGTTGAATCTTGTATCATGTTTATTCGGGAAACTCTTGAGATTCAAAATGCCTTGCTCACAAGTGTTCCATAAGAGTGAGGACATTTTTTTTTATTTTTTTTTTTTTTCATTTTTCTTGAATTTTTTGGTAGTTTGGTGTGAGGTGAGAATATGCCATTCATTTGGATTTGTAAATTTACTGAAGTTTGACATTTTTTGTACTAGGATTTTGTGTTTGTACTAAGAATGGACCACAATCGCTGTTTGCTTAATTGCTTTTCACTGTGTTTTACTTCTACTATGATTTTTTTTTGTTTGTTTGTTTGTTTATCTCGTTTGTATTTTTATTGTTCCAAATTCTGCTACAGAGGACAATTTGCGGTTTTTCAAAATTTTAACAGCATAGAAAACTGAACTTTGAAAAATTGAACTGAAGCATTTTCGATTTCTGCTCGGTTTTGTTCACCCCTAATATGGGTTTATTGTGTTACTTGTGAAATTATGCCTGCTGATTGTGGACAATTTTTTATTTTTATTTTGAAGTTTCTGCATTTAATACTGAATTATATTAAATTAGTGCGCATTACCCAACATATTACACAATCTTAATTAGAGTATGTTTGGTAAACCAAATAAACTAGCTTATAGCTTATTTGGTTAGCTTATAAGTTTCTTGTATTTAAATAAGTCCCGTTTGGTAGGACGAGCTTACTTAAAAAGCTCAAGTTTATTTAATAAGCTTGTTTACTTTTACTTTGGTTACCTCACTGTGTTTTACTTTTACTATGATTTTTTTGTTTGTTTGTTTGTTTATCTCGTTTGTATTTTTATTGTTCCAAATTCTTCTACAGAGGACAATTTGCGGTTTTTCAAAATTTTAACCGCATTGAAAACCGAACTTTGAAAAACCGAATCAAACCGCTTCGAATACATCGGTTTGGATCGGTTTTTTCAGTTTCGACTCGATTTTGCTCACCCCGGGTTTATTATGTTACTTGTGGTGAAATTATGCATGCGGATTGTGGACAATTTTTTAATTTTATTTTGAAGTTTCTGCATTTAATACTGAATTATATATTAAATTATTGCACATTACCCAACATATTACACAATCTTAATTAATAAAATTAATAGTTAAAAATATGTTAGTGACTAAACAATATTTTGTTTTTATAATATCTAATGATGATTTTTTCTTTGTTTTAGTAGATTGTAGAAAAAAAAAAATGAGATTAATGGAATAACATTTCTATGAATTTTATTTCTTTATATTTGTTACTCCATTTAATAGAGTAAATCTTGAATGAATAAATACAAATGTGTTATAACCAAGTGGAATTTTCCACTATTATCTTATCCTAGAAATGTGTGAATGATAACATTGAGATGTGTGCAAAGTTTGCCTATAAAAGGCAAGTGAGTTAGTGTAATAGTCGTACGAAAGTGAAGGAAAAAGAAGTGAAAGAAAGAAAGAAATCTGTTACAGTTTATATCCGGTTTTTACATTGTGTTCTTTATATTCCCCGTATTTCATAACACATTATCAGCACGAACGCTCTACCCAGTCAAGAAAGGTAGGATATATATACATATTACCATTATTCTTGACAAGTTAGGCTCTGCCACAGTCAAGGATATATATACATATTGCTATTATTTTTGACAAGTTAGGCTCTGCCACAGTAAAATATATATATATATATATTACTATTATTCTTGACAAGTTAGGCTATGCCACAGTCGAGATATGTATACTAAATATGATGTTATCTACACATTACCATTATT